TCTTGCTGACTGCCAGCCAAACGAGTATCGGGGTGGACGGTTTTGGACACCAGCAACCTCCTGGGGAAATCAGGTGAGATTTTTGGCTGACATGCTCTTGCTCCACCAGGAGCTGAGAGGCAGCGTGGGACGCTCGTCTCCTGCACACGCCTGCACTGGCTGCAGCCCAGAGAGGACAACCACCGGCAGGGCAAGAAGCTGCCTTCCAGGGCGAGTGGTGGCAACGGAGACAGGATCTGGGACACTCCATGTCCCCCCGGGGCTGCCACTGATGCACGCATTGCAGAGGGACGGAGGCTGTCCTGCCAGCTCCTGGCGAGAGGGAAACCCACTGGAGAGAAGCCCCAGAGCCTGCTTGGAAAGGGCCCCATTTCACACCCTGGCTACCAGACTCCTGCTTGCCTTGGTGACTGGAGTTTTCATGGTAGAAGAGAAGCTTACCGGGGTTGGAGGGCAGAGAGGGCAATCAGTAAGGTGAGGGTGGAGGGAAGGGGCTTTTCAGACATTAACATCACCAAAAATAGTGTTTTATGCAACAAAGAATCAAGTCTCACCGGTGTATACTACAAAATGTTTGACATTTTCCAAGAGCATGACAAAATAAAAACACAAAGAAGTTTACATTGGATGCATCTTGTTCACTAGGTTGGGTTTGGTTTTTTGTTTTTTGTGTGTTTTTTTTTCCCCTCCTATTTTAAAACAGTGCAAACAGGTAACACACGTTAAAAACCACCCCTCTGCACCAAGGACAGCATTTCCCCGCCCCTGCCCAGCTGGAGGGGCGCAGGCCGCGGGCCATGCACGTTCCCTTTGGAGCTGGACTCAGCAAAAGCACTCCCCAGAGCTGTTGTTCTGTTGTCCCTTTACTGAACTCCTAAGTGCTCCCCAAACCTGTTCTCCACTTGTCTCCTCCTTCGGGGCCAGGAGGTGACTATTCAGATGGAGACGGGTTGGGGAAAAGCATGGGCAGGAACTGGGAGGCTCTGCTTTGGATTCCCTGCTGCCGAAGCTCTGGGTGCTGGGACTGAAACCCCAACAGCTCTTTTCGGGCAAGGAAATGGTTTCATGAACCGTTCACAACTAGGGCTCGAGCCAGCTACTCAGTTAACCCTCCTCAGCTCTTGCGGTGCACTTCACATCCAGAGGTCTCAAAATGGGTGAGAACATGGGCTAAACTATTACCTTCACTTGAGGGATGGGGAAGTTAAGTCTAGATTAGCGACAGGGCTGCTCCACACTGACCCTTGAGGATCACTGGCGAAGCCCTGCCCAAAACACAGGTCCCAGACTTGTGAGCTGGAGCCCTTTCTCGCTGGGCAGGTCTGCTCTCTCTTGGGCATCGAAAGAGCCACGCCACAGCTCATTTAAAACATGGCTTTGTCTATCTGAACTCACGACACAGGATTCACGTAACCTGGGAACAGCTGGTGACAGCAGGCTCACACTGACCTCCCTGACCTCCTCAGGTCCCATCATGGCTTTTCTTAGAAAAACTTGACCCACCGACAGCAGGGCAGCCTCCCCAGCACAGGGACAGCACAACGGTTTGTTAAGGTGCTGGGCATTAATAGCACTTATTCCCAGTAGAGAATATGCCACACCAGCAGCAGTCATCTTTGTATCAGCGTTACCTGTACCCACAAGGAAAGACAGACCAGAACATTAAATAAATCAACTCTTCAATCCTAAATTTTATCTGTATCATGTGCTGGCCAGACAGTACAAACAGCAACACTTAAGGAAAAGCATTTTTCTCTGCATCAAGAGAAACCCCGATGACACCAGACTAGATGGTGACAAACAGTGAGCTATTTGCCAGGCTGCCTGTGTGGCTGCCGTCGGAAAAAGCCAAGCCCTGCTTTGCCAGGGACCTGTGACTGCAGACTCACCTCGGGGACAAGCGCTTGCTGTCTTCGGTCAAATAAGCCAGGGCCCAGTTTAATTAATTAAGCACAATTCGTTTTGCATAGGGAGATATAGGCTTTGTCCTCACTTCTTCAGAAGATGAACACAGCTACAGCTTGGCTACTCTGAATGCATCTCAAGCCACTTCGTAACACAACTGAGTGAAACCAGAGCTGCTGTTTGCCAAGAGGGAAGAAAAGGCTGAAGAGCTTTCCCGCCACGGCACAACACTCACTCAAGAAACCTTGCTGCAAAATTCCAGCTGGCGTGCAAGTTTTTGGGAGGTGTGATGCTCTGGAGACCTGGAACCAGCGAGTCACCTCCAGCCCCGACATCCCCTCTACATCCCACTGCTGAGGGCAGGAAGCCAGGCTGTCGGCGAGCTGCCTCAGCAGGGACCGAGCTGCATTACCGATGGAGCGGAGGAGGCACCGACTGATTATCGCACCAGAGGAGCCGGCGGGGAGCAGGAAGAACCAGGCTGGGTGGTCTGGAGCAGGTGTTACTGGGAGATCACACAGCAGGGGACCACGGCCCCACAAAGGTTGGGCACTTCTGCACTGAACACCTCACGCTCCTAAAATACTTGGGCAGGAGGAAGCTGCCATGCATAGACTCTGCTCGGAGGCAGAAATGGGGCTTGGCCTCCCTACTCGCAGAGAGGCCAAGTGGCGAAGGGGGGGGATTGCAGGGGAGGGAAAGCCCAGTTTTTCGGGAGCTGCAGTCAGAACCAGCTGAACTGAAACGTAGTAAAGGAGCAGAGGGGCAAGGAGCTGGACCTGCCAGGCTCTGCAAGCTGCGCTCCTCTCACTCACAGCCTGCAGACCTGCTGCTGCACGGGGAACTGCCTGCGGGCCCGGGAAGGGACAGCCTCGCTCAGCCCCTCTGCCCCATGGGTGGGAACAACAGCTCCAGTGGAGGCTTTTCCTGCATCTCAGCTCCAGAGGTCCCCCGGCTGCCCTGCGGTGGAAATGGCTCCCCTTGAATATGACTATTTCTACCACAAGTCCTCCCTTCCCTACCCCAGCTCAGACAGTAAAAGCCCCCAAACACCCCGAGTCCCCCTCATTTCCTAGATTTTGCGAAAGCCCCAAACACCCTGTTCCCCCCTCCCCATTTTCAAGCTAACGAAAATATTTATATACAAACAACAAAAAAAAATTGTCATAACAGCAACAAACCAAACTTTGGCTTGGAAAAAAAAAAGTTAAAAACCAACAATAAAACCAGAACAACAACAACAACAAAAAGGTGGCCAACAGGCTGGCAGTTTGGTGTCCCCTTGATCTAGCTATTCCTTCAGAGAATCAATAGCTTCAGGGTCTCTAGCTTAACTAATGGCTTCCCAATCCTTCCCATTTGAGGTGCCTCCAGAGAGGCTCCGTCTATCGCTGGGGAAGAGCACAAAAACGCGTGGTTGTGCGTGGCTGCCCCAGGACCCCTCCCCGGGGGCGCTGCCTGTTGACATCGCTTAGTGTTAAATGCAGGAGGTTTCCTATTCTGGCACCAGCAGTGGATGGAGCAGAAGCAGGTGCATGGCAGGAGCTGGAGAGGCTCCACCAGCAAACCCACACTCCCAGCAGCCCTTCTGGGGGCGGCGAGCTCACCCCAGTACCAATTGAGGGAGTTGAGGCGGCTGAATAAAACCACGCTTCTGCATCTCTTTAACGCGTGGTTACAGACCCTGCCTCTGACCACTGGGGTTGCTGGGAGCAGCCTAGGAACCAGCAGCTGAATGGGAAGGCCTGGAGAGCAGCAACTCCCTGTCACAGCACAGCTCATGCAGTCATCTAGAAATGCTGACTTTGAAACCCTGCAAAACCGCTGTACACCAGAGCGGAAGGGAGAAGGTCTAGGGAGTCATGGAGCACTCCCCTAAATGGTCTGTCTGCTTCCAAATCTTCTAATATGTAGTGTCTATATGGACTCAGCAGACCAGGTGCACAACTTTCCACGAGAGGGTGGGCAAAGCAGACCCAGGGGCTCCAACCCAACCATGTAAGGGCTCGAAATAGCTTCTGGTGGGAAGTTCCTATGAATTCAGAGCTTGTACAAACTGCTTCTGCCTCCCCTTAAACTCCTGACAGAAGCAAAACTGCTTCAGAATCACGTTTAGATATAAAAGACCCTCTTCCCCCACACAAACCCACACACTTGCCCCTTGCCTCAAAAGCAGCTTATACATGACTGGTTTTTCCTCACTCATGTTATTTGAAACAGATTTCTTGCAGAAGCACCTGAGCAGCTCAGGATGAACAGGAGGAGAGACCTTGCATGCTGGACCTTGGAGTGCCCAAGCATGGCACTGATACTCGGTTCTCCTGCTACCTTTCCTCCTCTGCAAGGCTACAGGGGCTTCACCTCCACACGTTTAACCGCTTGCTGTCTGCAATAGAGGTAACTCTGTGTGATGCTGCACTGCATCTACCACTCCTCAAGGAAAGAAGGGGAGGAAAGAGACAGCAAGGGAGAAAGATCTTGAAAAGGAGGAAGGAAAACTAAGATAACAACAGCCACCAGCAATGGACAACGATCAGCTAGAATAAAGTTGTGTGTGGGGGAGAAGATTATCCTCATCAAAAACTCCTTCAAAGTCTTGTCCCCTACACAGCAGACAACAGCCAAAGTCTTTGGGCAGGTTGAGGAAATCTTCTCTTGCCAAATCTAATATCCTGACACTGCTTAAACTGTCCCAAACCTGTGCGCATCAGATGGTGACGAACATGAGGAAAGTCTCTGCATTTCCCCTGTTTTCAAATGTGAATGACTATTTCCCACCAGCACTAAGGTCCCAGCCACAGCCAAGAGTGCTTCCTCTTCTGCAGACCAGAAACAGGGTAGGTGGAGGCTTCTCCCTCACATCTTCCTGTCTCTCAGGCACCAAGCACCAGACCCAGCACAGTAACTCTGTCTTCGTCTTCCTGATTAGTTGCATGATATCAGTTCTGAACAGCTTTCCTTATCACTAATCGCCTTTTCCGTGATTGGTAGGATAAGCTATGCACCAACACACAGACACGGAAATGCATTATTTTTACCACAGTAAAAAAAACCCAAAAACAAAACAAAAAAAAAGAAAAAAATGCACAATCTTTGGAACAAAAGAATTAAAGGCAGAAATTTAAAGGAAAAAAATACATATTCAAAGAACATAGTGAGGTATAAAAAAGTATTTTCTCTTTTGTTTCTTGTTTTTCCTCCTCGTCTTGCTATAGAGTTCCTCTACTAGTAAATATTGCAATAGCCAGGCCTCATGAACTGGGGGGGCTGTCCCACTTGCAGGGGGCTCACGTCACTTCAGTAGGGGGCAAATCGGCTGTAGCCACCTCGGTATAAACTCGCCTGTGGAAATTAAATGAGAGAAGAGGTTGTTAGGAGGTGAACCGCTACAAAATACTCAGGAGACCACCCGAATGCTCTCAGAAGGACTAACCTGGCACTGACCCACCACCATTAGCTCCTCTAAGAAGCAAGAGAGGAGCACCTTGCCTGCACAACCAGAGACATGGCTCATGACCAGCCAGCTGAAGTCTGGCAAGTCTTGGTCGATGGGAGCTCAGTACCAGAGACAGGGCTCATGAGTCCTAATCTTGGAGCCAGTTATCTAGGCTGTCTTTTTAGACAGCAAAGACCAGGACTTCTAGGATGCTCTTCACCTCACCTTAAGGTGAAGGTCTGAAATAGACACGATGAGCTGGTATCCTAGAAGTACCTGCTTTTCCTTCATCGACCCTAAAGAGAATCCACGCGATGCGCTGAGGCTCAAATGGAGGTGCTACACTGCAGAGAGCTATATTTAGGTGTCTCTTTCTCTGAGCACATTTGTATTCCAGCCTTAGCAACAACACAGATACCGTGCTGGCTAGAAGCAGATGGGCAAGCATGTGTTTTCAGCAAGCTGCTCCACTCCCCTCCGATGCCAGCATACCTCACTTCTGCCCTTGCATAACTACTGCTGGCAGGCAGGACCTTTCACGAGTGGGACAGGGAACCAAGTGAAGCAGCTTTGCTGCAAGATGTCATGAGAACAACGTATTCCTTTGCTTCCTAGAACTGATTTCTTGACATGCAACACGAGCCTTTAAAGCTAATGAAAATGGCAGGAAAGGGCTTCTTGCATCTCTAACTACTGCTAATTTTTGCTCTATGTATCACCTTGATACAGTTCTACTGATTCACCAATGTTCTGGCTCATGACGTTTCTGGTCATTCTTCTACCATCTTCTTTGTACGAGGTGATGTGCGAGACCAAGTGACAACTGGTCTCCTACAACCTGGCTCCTATCCTAGCGCACACCCAAACAAACAAATGCAGAACAACTGGGAACCCAGCCCTGCAGCTGAGGAACCTCTTCAATAAAGAAGATTTTCTAAGTGAAGTTTCATTACCTGATATCCAGTGAACAGCTGTTCCCCATGCTGGAAATGAGAAACAGCACAAGAAAGAAAATCCCACTTACCACAGCGCCAACTCCGTAGCTAGCGGCAGGGGCAAGGGCATGGTAAGGATCTGCTGTGTACACCCTGCCATAACTGAAGAGAGGGAGAAAAGATATTAAAAAAAGGAAGGAAAAAAAAAAAGGATAAAATAGTGACTTTGGAGGGGCACCAAAACAGCTGTCTGACCACAGGCAACAGAAGCAGCAGCATGCCCTTCTACACACATGTATGCATACATGCACACACATGCACGCAGGCAGCCCCTCTTTGAAGAGATCCTATGGGCATGCTGCCATGCATCGTATGAGATGGACGAGAAAAGGGCCTGCAAGGAGGAATGTAGCAGAAGCCACAGGTTCAACCTGTAGGAAAGAGGTCAGCACCTTCGAGATGACAGCTAGCGTATCCCTTACCTCGCACGATGCGATTTGGGAGGAGAGTGACTGCTGGCGCTAGTGCTACTGGCACAGTAACAGCTGCTAAATGGGGAGCAGCGAGGGATTCTCCAGAATGAGAAGGGAGCATAAACTTTAATGGTCTCACACACGCTAGGATTAAAACACCGCCTCGCTGCACAGGAGATGAAAAACCTTAAGGCAAGCACTCTGCTGATGATAATCCTTTGTATCTACACAGAGCTGCACGCTAAAGCGTCCTAGAATACTGTACGAGCTGAGCAATTTTTACTTTATGGATGGGGAGAGAAAGGCACCCAGTGATTAAATAACTTGCTCGGAGCCACAGAGCAAGGAGCTGGCAAGGCAAGCCACGTCTTTTGACTCCGAGGCCATAACCACGCTCCCTCCTTTGTGCAGAGCATCACAAGGATAGGGAAGAGGCCAGGATTTGAGCCAGCTCACAGACACCGGAGGGCTACGCTGCCCGGGAGCAGAGAAACAAACCGTGCATTCAAATCCTTCACGTTGGGCTGTGCATGCATGTGTGCACGTGCGAGTGCAAGTAAGACAAA